AGCCACTGGTAGGATTTCTGGATATTAGCCAACGATGCCACCTTATCCCATCGTCCAGCCAATAATGTGATTTACATTCGTATATACGCAGCTAATCACCATCGTTGACAGGTTATGACAGCGTCCTTGTGTGCCGACACCGGTGTTTTAGCAAGCAAAGTGGCTGATGTGGAGTGAAGCCACGTTAATGACAACGTGTACAACCATTGGAGATGTGAGCAGGACAGACTGAGCAATTGATGGAAAAAGTGGTAGTTATGTGTAGTGTAGTTTTGTTGTCTGTATCAGAACAATGAGGCGACTGCTGAGTGTTACAGGTGTTACAGCAGTGAAACATCTGCTGTTGTCAGGCCTGCAGGTATCAGGCTGTTGTTCTCCTTTTTCTCATAGTGGACAGAAATTATTTTTTGGAGCGGCACAAATAATTTGTGTGGCATCAGATTTGATGCAGAACAGCTGATTGTTCTGTAAATAGATTGAAATGTTTATTTAAGAAACGCCTTGGCTGCATTTAAAAAAATAGCTGCAAAAAACTTTGTTGTTTGCCAAACTCAGTTACTTTTTTTGAAGACTAAACTAAATCACGGGCAGGGCATAGGTGTTGATAGCCTGGATCTTATTTTTACCGTTCAGCTGACTTCTCAGGATCCCCAGGTACTTCTGTCCTCTACGTCTGCAGCGTTGCCTTCTGGTAGGTCTATTCCCTCAGTTCTGACTAAGAACTCATTTCTGACTGCGTGCCCTCTCTTGGGCGATCGTGGCTCAAGAGTTGGGAGTTCGCCTTGTAATCGGAAGGTTGCCGGTTCGAGCCCCGGCTCGGACAGTCTCGGTCTTTGTGTCCATTACTACAGTATACATCAAAAAATAATTTGATTTCTCTTTCAAAACGTGTCAAAAACTCACCAAAAAAATAGATATTGGATTTAAAATTACGATTTACTGTTGATTCTAGAAAATATCACATATAAATTTAGTTTCTAAGTGTCATCTAACGTAGATTTCGGGAATATGTACTGGACTTCCAATTTGAATTAAGTGTGCTCCCTGTAAGATTGTTGGCTTTATCTGTAACTGTGAGGGACCAAGCAGCCAAAGCAAAGAGGACACAGGCAAAAAAAAATATCTTCAAAAAGGGTTTTCTTTATTTTAACCCTCAAAAAGTTAAAATTAACAAAATTCAAAAACATACATAGCAGGCCCACAAAACAGGTCAACTAAATATAACTCTACAAAAAAGAATTTCCAGAAACTTAAACAAACAAAGTGAGACACAGCTTAACTCACAAACTGACCTAATTACAAAGACACATGAGGGTAGCTTTTATAATGATTTGGCCAAACCATTTGAACACAATGGGGGGGGGGGGGGGGAACAAACACTCTAATATTAACTAAGCACAGAATAACCTAACTAAACCTAAAACACCCCTGCTCCTGGTAAGCCCATGGTTGGTCCTGCTGAGCAGGCATTTTGTTCCCAGAGTTGTCAGCCACGATATTTGCCGAGACAGAAAACAGCCACCACCCAAACCCAGGTAACTCAAAGAAAGAGAAACATAATTAATATAACAAAATATTTTGGAAAAACCATACAATGTTAACAGTGTTAGGTTTAACCAAAGGATTAATGAAGAAAACTGCAAAGCAAATTAATAAAGTAAAAAGTGGACTAATTTACCCCTGTGTGGCTGATGCCATCACAGTAGCAAAACATCCAAAGAACCCTTATTAAACAAAACCCCTGATTATATTTACATCAAGATTATGTTAATTCTTGATCATATGTTGTGTATGAGCAGTTTTTACATGTTTATTTTACTTATAAGACATGAGACATGGTTCCAATCATTAACATGGATTTTATTGACAAAAAGATAACCCTTCCTGGAACAATCCAAGACCAATTGACACTTATGCATAAACAAAGGCACATAGAAAAAAAAATCTAATTCAAACGCACATTTGAGCACAAAAGAAGGGGACACTGCCACCTCGAATCTGCCTTACCACATCTGGAACAACGAAAAGGGGACTAATTGAGGCACATAACCTGCAGGTTTAGAAGTAGCTCTAGCTTTCTGAACGTCTCAAATTTAGGGCTGCTGCTGGCCATTTGCGCTCCCTTGGAGAAATCTGCAATGTAATTATATGCAAAGAACAACTAGAGTAAAACAAAAGCCTCATTGTTATGCTGATTATACTTAACTGACAAATTAAGTCAGTCTATTACAATGAACTGAGATGAAGATAATACTTAAGACAATGCTACACCTATCGCAGGACAGAGTGACAGAGAAGCCTGTCAGCAGACAGTAACATACTAACTGGCCAGCACTAATGCTAGCTAAATGTGAATAGGATTTGCAGCCTATATTTCACTTTTCCCTATCAAGCAGGCCACTTGTGCTGTTGACACTGACCATGAACCAAAGACCAGTGCTACTGAACAGCAGATTATGTTATCCTCAGGATAAAAATAAGAACGTTTTATGCTCTCCACTCGTAGTCTGCAATTTGGTGATCAATGTCAGAACCTTTGGATTGACTGCAAGGTTTTTCTTGGACGTGTTCCATTCCACTTTGGGTTTATCTTAAAGCACCAGTCGAATGAAAAATAAAAAAAATGAAAATGAAAAATAACAACTTCAGTAAGAAACGGACTGGACTGTATGATTTTTACATTTGCAATGAATCTAAGTGTAGATTGAGCTTGCTTTTGAGTGCATGTTTGGACATACAGGTCATTGTGAAACAGAGAGGTGATGCAAAGATATTTGGCTGTGAAACATCTGTGAACATCTACTACTCAAAGGTCTCTTTCTATAACTTGACAGGAGCATGAATCAAGGATATTACAGAGACAGCCATCTGAAACGCATTGCTCAGTCTTATGTGTTTTAGCTGCAAATAAAAGGAGATCTGATGATTTAATTCGGATTGCATAACTTTAGATTTCACTGTCTCATCATTCTTATGTTTTAATGCATAAAATTGACTGGTGCCACCTTACCGTTGCTAGAATTCCAAGGTTGCTGCTTGGGCTACTGGATAAGAAATGTTCATGCAGTAGTAAGAGCCAAACATCAGGATAAGTGCGTCGCTGAAGATAGTGATATGGCCATTCACAATTGCCTGGTCCACAGATAACATGAAGTGCTCGGCTGCCAAAGTAGAGTTTCCTGTTGTGTATTTGAACAAGAGACAAAGGGACAAAAAAAACAAGTCCACACATGACTCAAACAACAAACTGCAATGTTACAACTGATGTATATCAATATACACTGGCATGCAGTTTGGGCCCCCCGGTCAACTGCAAGGAGTCCAAATTTTTGCTGTGGGCCCTTTCTTTTTCTGTTTAAAAAAAAAAATATGAAAATGATTTTATTTAAAATTAAATGTCATCTGTAACTTTATGCCATTTGGAAATTATTTCATCTTCCACTTGCTTAACTGTTCATATGAATCAAAATTTTGACCATAGGTGCCCAAACATTTACATTAAAGCACCACAACTGTGACAGCCGTAATCTTTTGACATCCTTAAATGCAGCACAATACTTGCCTTTACAGCTTACTGAATAAATTTGAGAACTCACGCCACTAATCTGCAGAGGAAGAAAAAACCTTATAAATCATGAAACCTGCCAAAATCCAAATACAGGCATGCAATGTACGTTTATATGTAGTCAAATAATTCACCTCATCTGCTTAGGTCTACTACCTCTCTACAAAATAAAAGAAAATACTTGGCTTATCCTTTACATGTCCATTACATTTTACAGGGCAAAGCTAGCACAGTGGGCTACTTCTATTTCCCTCACTTCATCACGCAGCACATATTGGTGCGCACGAGCTAGAGTGGAACAGGTCGCCTATTAACTCTTAAGTTGCATACTTAATTTCACATTAAGACAAATGCATCAGTGGCAGCTGTTGTCGTGGGGCCCCTAACGGGTATTAGCGGTGTAGAAACTATCCGCGTAGCAACTGCTGTGTTTACACGGTCACAGAAAGCTGGCAGCTAACAAATTATCAAACAACAACTCTGCTGGCCAGCAAGCTAGCGGCTGGTCTAACTACACCTTATACTGACGGATGGCGTGCTTTGCCTGCATAGCTAGGGATTCCATGCCTTTTACCGTCTCAGTAAACTATGAGCCATAGTGGTCAAGCAATGCCAAGTTAATTCTACTAAGCTGAGTTTGATATACTTGCCTTGCAGCAGTGCATGGATGATCTTTCACCAGCGTCTCTCTTCCTCCGCGCTTTCCAAGCCATACACGTGACCTTGTGGTTGTTAGTTCAAATTCCTCATGTCGTTATGTGTCCCAACATCCAATAGCATGTCACACTTTTTTCATGACCGTGTCCTTACCCCAGGTGCAGAGCCCTATCTCTGTTCAGGAATGTTGTAAATACTTTGAGATTTATATTAATTGCAATTCCTACCTACATTTATTTTTAAAAATATATCATTAGCACAGTGTGGCCGTGCAAGGTTTTATGTTTTTTTTTTAGTTTTTATTCCTATTAGTTATATTTTCACTCTTTACCTCTGAATTATTGAAAAAGAGCTAGATGACATTTTCAGCAAAATTATAATTCAAATACTCATTTAATAATTAATTGTTCTCATTATATTTTAGATCATTTTTTTTTATATTTTTCCATAGTTTTACATTTGAATTTAACAGTTCAATCTTTCAAATAACGGGCAAATATTTGTGAAAGTATTTTAACAATCTAAATATGCATATGTACAGAAAAATATATTTAAAAAACAAGAGAATTATGTTTTATTACATTTACAGTGATTTTATGTTATTTTACATTTGACATATAAAATCACATTCTATTTGTGTAAATTTAATGATATTGTAGGAAAACAGTACAAAACTGTAACATACACAGTAAAATACTTTGATTTTACAATTTGGTTTTACAGTGTGTGTCTGTATATAACAAAAGACCTTTTCATAATTTCAGATTTCCTTCAACAGGTAAATTTTCACAAGTTGTGGTGAAACAAGGTAAAGAAGGTAAGAGTTCAAGATTTCAGCAGTGTGAAGTAATATTGTTGACAATATATAACACATGCCAGAACTATTAGTGCCCCTATGAAAATGTACTTCCCAACTGCGGCTTTCTCTGTTTTGTTGTCCTATTTCTCACGCTTTCATCAATTTAAATTTTACAAGGTTTCTATTGACTAGATTTCTTGTCAGAGGGGGATACTATGAGATGCTGGCAGGGTGAGAAATAAAGGAAAGAAATCTAGCTCCCCATGCCCCACTATTACATTGTGTTAGTGATATGTGACTGTAAGTGTTATTCTTTCTAAAGAGCTTGGGTCAGTCTGAATTAAAATTTAGTTTCTGACAAGTTAGCGTTCCCTGTTGAGATCATTTAATGCACAGTATAAATGGTCGTAATTTAGATTTCTAGTATTTCAGATGTTTTTATTCTGCTTATGAGCTGACTCCAGAAAAGTTCTTATCATAGTTTATATGAAAATCAAAGAGTTCAGTATGTTTGAAAATGTGTCAGAGTAAAGCCATCCATGATAGATACAGTCTGACTTCTGTTTCAGAATTCTTCAAATGTGTCAGATAGGCTGTGCATGTTCAGTTAATGCAGAAAGTCAATGACATGACTGTTTCTGTCTTATTGACATCTACTTTTTAATATTTTTGTTCAATAAGAGGCTCTCACAAAGTGTCAGCATGAGCTCAAAGCTAAGTTGAACAAGAGATTCCTGCATTTGTTGGAAGGGATTGCAGAAGAAGAAGACCCAACCCTTCTGAATCAGATCTACACAGAACTCTGGATCACAGAGGGACAGACTACAGAGGTCAATGAGGAACATGAGGTCAGACAGATTGAAACAGCATCCAGGAAACCAGACAGACCAGAAACAACAATCAGACAAGAAGACATCTTTAAAGCCTCACCTGGAAGAGAAGAACCAATCAGAACAGTGCTGACAATGGGGTTGGCTGGCATTGGCAAAACAGTCTTAACACAGAAATACACCCTGGACTGGGCTGAAGACAAAGCCAACCAGGACATCCAGTTCATATTTCCATTCACTTTCAGAGAGCTGAATGTGCTGAAAGAGGAAAAGTTCAGCTTGGTGGGACTTGTTCATCACTTCTTTACTGAAACCAAAGAAGCAGGAATCTGCAGCTTTGAAGACTTCCAGGTTGTGTTCATCTTTGATGGTCTGGATGAGTGTCGACTTCCTCTGGACTTCCACAAAACTACAATCCTAACTGACCCTAGAAAGTCCACCTCAGTGGATGTGCTGCTGATAAACCTTATCAGGGGGAAACTGCTTCCCTCTGCCTCCCTCTGGATAACCACACGACCTGCAGCAGCCAATCAGATCCCTCCTGACTGTGTTCACATGGTAACAGAGGTCAGAGGGTTCACCGAAACAAAGAAGGAGGAGTACCTTAGGAAGAGATTCAGAGATGAGGAGCAGGCCAGCAGGATCATCTCTCACATCAAGACATCACGAAGCCTCCACATCATGTGCCACATCCCAGTCTTCTGCTGGATCACTGCTACAGTTCTGGAGGATGTGCTGGAAACCAGAGAGGGAGGACAGCTGCCCAAGACCCTGACTGAGATGTACATCCACTTCCTCGTGGTACAGGCCAAAGTGAAGAAGGCCAAGTATGATGGAGGAGCTGAGACAGATCCACACTGGAGTCCAGAGTATTGGGGGATGATTGAGTCTCTGGGAAAACTGGCTTTTGATCAGCTGCAGAAAGGAAACCTGATCTTCTATGAATCAGACCTGACAGAGTGTGGCATCGATATCAGAGCAGCCTCAGTGTACTCAGGAGTGTTCACACAGATCTTTAAAGAGGAGAGAGGACTGTACCAGGACAAGGTGTTCTGCTTCATCCATCTGAGTGTTCAGGAGTTTCTGGCTGCTCTTCATGTTCATCTGACTTTCATCAACTCTGGACTCAATCTGCTTGAAGAACAACAAACAACCTCGAGGAAGCCTGAAATAAGAGAATCTGCCGAGAAACACTTCTACCAGAGTGCTGTGGACAAGGCCTTACAGAGTCCAAATGGACACCTGGACTTGTTCCTCCGCTTCCTCCTGAGTCTTTCACTGCAGACCAATCAGGATCTTCTAGAAGGTCTGCTGACACAGACCAGAAGTTGCTCACAGACCAGTAAGGAAACAGTCCAGTACATCAAGGAGAAGCTCAGTGAGAATCTTTCTACAGAGAAAAGCATCAATCTTTTCCACTGTCTGAATGAGCTTAAAGATATTTCTGTAGCAGAGGAGATCCAACAGTCCCTGAGATCAGGAAGCCTCTCCACAGATAAACTGTCTCCTGCTCAGTGGACAGCTCTGGTTTTCATGTTACTGTCATCAGAAAAAGATCTGGATGTGTTTGACCTGAAGAAATACTCTGCTTCAGAGGAGGCTCTTCTGAGGTTGCTGCCAGTGGTCAAAGCCTCCAAGAAAGCTCTGTAAGTAAATATACACTCATCATCAATCAAAAAATAACTTTTTCATCATTGTTTATCAAGAATTCTCTTATTATCTCCATAGATTGAGTAGCTGTAACCTCACAGAGAGAAGTTGTAAAGCTCTGTCCTCAGTTCTAAGTTTCCAGTTATCTAGTCTGAGACACCTGGACCTGAGTAACAATGATCTTAAGGATGCAGGAGTAAAGGCTCTGTTTGCTGAATTGGCAAATCCACCCTGTAAGCTGGAAACACTAAGGTCAGATGACATTACAGTTTTTTTATTTTGTTTTTTATGTTATGAAGGAGGTGTTACCTACTAATACAAATCTAATTCATGATATAATGTGATTTAAACCTATTGTTGTTATCACTCTGTGATATTTCAGATATTTCTAACATTATGGCTTTTATGTACAACTAATCAATGTGCACCCAAAATAACAAGCTACTTTAAACACTCAAAATCCACGATTTAGTTTATTTCCAAACAAATTTGAACTTTTTAATTTTTCTCATATAGGGAAATGTCTGATGGGATCTGAAAGAATGTTGAAATGGTGATAATTATATCTTAAAAATGTATTAAATTAATTTAAATGAAGTTGTATAATTTGAGGAAAAGTGATGGGAAAAAAATTAAGAAAATCTCACCACAATATATATATATATATACATAGATAAACATGAAATTATAATGTACAGTCAGTATGGTTTCAGACCAATCAGATCAACATCCATGGCATTAATGGAACTAATTAAAATATCACCAATAATATCGATCAAAGACAATGTACAGTTGGTGTTTTCATTGACCTAAAAAAAATGCTTTTGACACAATTAATCATGAAATATTACTTGATAAACTGGAGTACTATGGCATTAGAGGCGTGGTGCTAGAGTGGGTCAGGAGTTATTCGAGAGACAGGCAACAATTGTGAAGGTTGGTGAATATCAATCAGTACCTGGACATTGTTTGTGGAGTTCCACAGGGGTCTGTATTGGGACCAAAACTGTTTATCCTGTACATTAATGATATAAGTAAAGCATCTGATATATTACAGTTTATTTTATTTGCAGATAATACAAATATTTTTTGTGCTGGAGAGAATTCACAACAGCTTATGGAAATTGTCACACAAGAAATGATTCAACAGAAAACATGGTTTGACAGAAACAAGTTATCACTAAATTTGAATAAAACTACATTTATGTTATTTGGAAATTAATAAAAAGATACTGGAGCAAAATTGTTGATAAATAATGTTGAAGTAGAGAAAGTTTCTCATACAAATTTTCTGGGTGTGATAATAGATAACAAAATCTGCTGAAAACCTCACATAAGAGCTAAACTGTGAAGAAGCATCTCTGTTATGAGTAAAGCTAAACATCCTTTGCCTTCCAAATCACTCCAGGTACTTTACTGTACACTTATACTGCCATATTTGGAATACTGTGTGGAAATCTGGGGAAATACATACAATACTTCACTGCAACCGTTATGTAAAATTCAGAAAAAAGCAATCAGGATGATTACTAAAGCAGGAGACCACACTAACATTATGTTCTTGAAATTAAAATCCTGAAGTTTATGGATCTTGTAAAATATAAACTGCGAAAATTATGTAGAAAGCCAGATATAATATCTTACCAGGAAATGTACAGAGGGTTTTTTTGACAGAGAAGGGGACTATGAATTGAGGGGAAAATTAAATAAAAAATCTGAAGACTCTTAAAGCACGGACAAAGGTTAAAACCTGTTGTGTTACCATTTGTGGGGTAAAACTGTGGAACAGCTTTGCTGTGGACCTACAGCAATGTTCCAGCATTAGTCAGTTCATAAAGATGTTTCGAAAACTGCTTTTGGAAGAATACGAAACTAATCAAGTTGATCACCCGTTGTCAATGTAACTATCCTAAAATGTATATATCATTGTAGCTATGTTAATACATGTCCTTCATTCCTTGTTTATTGTGTGGGGTAAGTGATGATGGGAATTAGGGGTAACAATGAACAGTGGGATTTAATAGAATGTTGAGCATGGGGTAGGGACTAATAAGTATGTTATACTTCTTTCTACTCTATTTCGGACTCATTGTAATATGTCATTTAGACTCTATTTTATTTTATTTATTTTCTTTTTTGTTTTGTCTGAGCACATACATGTGTGTATTTGCATATATATTCGTATTTATACATGTAAACACAAGTATGTGTACTTGTATATATTGTTTTTCTGTATATGTCTGAAATAAAGATACAATAATCAATAACCAATTTCAGTATTGACTGAGACACTGAGATAATCCAAAAATATTCGCTAATTTAAAACTTGATTGGAACAATACATCTGAATGAAGTTACGTTAAAGTAACAGAATGCTGGGAAAGTGGTAGTAAATAGAAACTGGCCGTATCAAATATTTGAATGTTGTGTTCCCATTATAACTGATTCTTTGTTTACCCGAGATACAGTTTTTTGGGGGTGAAAATATGAAAGGAAAACCTTCTTTTCTGTTGTTTTTTTCATTTCTTCAGTCTTTCAGGCTGTCTGATGACAGATGAAGGCTGTGATTTTCTGGCTTCATTTCTGACCTCCCACCCCACCCATTTGAGAGAACTGGACTTGAGCTACAATTACATAGGAGACTCAGGAGAAAAGCTGCTGAACCAGCTTAGACTGGAGAGTATGAGGTAGTAGAGTGTGAAACACTGGAAACATTTCGTCTTGGTAGCATTTTGTATTTCAGTAAATTTATTAGATCTGGGAAGTAATTGTCATAGTACGGAAACACATTTAAAGGTTCCAAAGAGGTAAACCTATTTAGCAATAGTATAGTAATGTTTTGAGAGTCCTGCTTACAATAGAATCACGATATTATGGATGGTAAATGGCCTGCATTTGTATAGCGCTTTTCTAGTCATTAAGGACCCCAAAGCGCTTTACACTACATTCAATCATTCACACACACAGGCATGGCTGCCGGACACAGGCGCCACCGGGCCCTCTGACCACCACCAGCAGGTAAACATGTGGTTAGTATCTTGCCCAAGGATATTTGGCATGCAGCCAGGAGGCAGCCGACCTTCTGATTAGTGGCTGACCTGCTCTGCCACCTGAGCTACAGCCACCCAGGATATTATTGTAGCGATCGTGGCTCAAGATATGGCAGTTCATCTTATAATTGGAAGGTTGCCGGTTCGAGCCCCGGTTCGGACAGCCTTTGTGTCGTTGTGTCCTTGGGCAAGACACTTCACCCGACTGCCTACCGGTAATGGCCAGAGGGACCGATGGCGTGATATGGCAGCCTCGCTTCTGTCATTCTGCCCCAGGGCAGCTGTAGCTAGAACTGTAGCTTGCCTTCACCAGTGTGTGAATGTGAGAGTGAATGAATAGTGGAATTGTAAAGGGCTTTAAAGGTCTCGAAAAAGCACTATATACATGCAATCCATTATTATTATTATAGCATACAATAATATATACAATTTAGGGTGAAAAATGTAGGAAACACTCTTAGACTAGAGGGTTTTAGTAAATCTCTGATTGTAGCTCCTTGGTCTTATTTGCAAGCGATCTGGTGTTGGTGAGGAAGATAGATGAGAGCGTCTCGCTACATTCCTTTATCAGTGTGTAACAGTGTGTGTATGAGAGCCATGTAATGTCCATGTGTGCATGCTGACTGTGCTGCTCTGACCCCCTCCTCCTTTCAGGGTGGAGCCTGCTGGAGTCCGATGGTTGAGACCAGGTCTGAGGAAGTGTAAGTGTGTTTTTAATGGGATTCATGAAAACAAAGCAGCACACATTCAACCATCTTCATCATGTCAGGAGTCATCATCAAAGTGTCAATCAATGAACAGATGATGGATCAATAACTGCAGCTGGATTGTGTTTGTTCTCTCCATCAGATTCCTGTCAACTCACAATCGACACAAACACAGTGAACACAAAGCTCCAACTGTCCGACAACAACAGGAAGGTGACACATGTGGAGGAGGTTCAGTCATATCCTGATCATCCAGACAGATTTGATGTTTGGAATCAGCTGCTGTGTAGAAATGGTCTGACTGGTCGCTGTTACTGGGAGGTCGAGTGGAGAGGAGAGGTTCATATATCAGTGAGTTACAGAAGCATCAGAAGGAAAGGAGACAGTTCTTACTGTTTGTTTGGAAACAATGATCAGTCCTGGAGTCTGGAGTGCACTGATGATGGTCCTCAGTCTGTCTGGCACAATAGAATAAAAACATCCATCTCCTCCTCCTCCTCCTCCTCCTCCTCTGTCTCTAACAGAGCAGCAGTGTATGTGGACTGTCCTGCTGGCACTCTGTCCTTCTACAGAGTCTCCTCTGACACTCTGATCCACCTCCACACCTTCAACACCACATTCACTCAAACTCTTTATCCTGGGTTTTGGTTCTGGTCTCCTGGTGCCTCAGTGTCCCTGTGCTGAGTGGAGTGTAAAGAGTGTCTCCTGTTACAGAAACACTCTGACTGTTGAACAGATAGTTGAGTCTGTACATGTCTGTCTCTTTCACTCACAAACACGTTTTCACATTCATGGATTCAATCAGTTGATGTTTGAAACTCTTCTCAATGATTCCTGGTAAACTTCTTCCCCTTCAGTCCTTTAAAGATGGAAGCTCCATTATTCCAGGATCCACATGTTGTTTTTCTGTCTTTTTCCACTCAAAGCTTCACAGTGAATATCAGTATGTTGTGTTTCTCTGAAGCTCAGTTTACTTTAAACCGTTTAGTTACTGCCAGCTATCTTCAGGCTTGTGCTGTGGAGACCTTATCAGTGCACCTTGGCTCTCCTGTGAATGAAAATGGAGAAAGCACATTAAAGGACTTTAACAGACTGGTAGAAAACCCTTTCTAACATGTGACTTCCTGTTCACCTGTTGCTATGAGAACATTATTGTATTAACTTCAAATACATATTTGGAGTGCAAAACTGTTATAAGTTATATGTAATTGCGATGAGTCGATATTATGTTTCTCTGTGAGTTTTCTTTATGTACTACATCCCCTTTGTATTTAAGGCAGACTATGGGTGTCAGAAATTGTTAAGGAAAATGTTCTAAACACTTCTTCAGTAAAGACTCAGAGAAGAGAAACACACAGAAGTTCTTGCTAGCAAGGGCAGCCTCCAGACTGAGACTCGCACCGAGAAACTGCCCCGGTCTTTATTTATACTTCAGTGAGCGTTTGTTCTTTACATTGGAGGTGTGTGCGTGTGTGTGTGTGTGTGTGTGTGTGTGTGTGGTGTGTGTGTGTGTGTGTGTGTGTGTGGTGTGTGTGTGTGTGGTGTGTGTGTGTGTGTGGGGTCAGAGTGTGGCCCCATAAACGACTTCCCTTAACCTGCTGGTCTGGAAAATCTAACAGTTCATCTATATGTAAAGAAGCACTTAAACTAAAACAGACATAGCTACGTTAATCCTACCGTAAAACAATAAGACAAAGTACGACCTCTCTCATGCTCCTAGGATGTGGGGGTGAACACCCTAGAGTGTTACAGACCTCCTAGGATGAGACATTCCTTCAATATCCACCAACTATATACTTCTACACACACATGATTACATGCAGCATTCTACCATATGCAAACTTATATCACTAAAAGATTATACTGACTACTAAATACAATTTTCCATTGACAGAAATCTTCCCAAATTTCTCCTCCTGACTGTATCTAATAAAGTATGTCCATTCTAACTGAGAGTTGCTGTGTTACCTTTGTTATAAACTTGCATTTTATGTGTTTGTTTTGTGCAATCAACGCATTTGTTTGTGTTAATTGACCAATCCCTGCTGCGATCGGTGCGTGGTTATACAGCTCCAAAGTGACTGGTTCCAGCTGGAGAACCCGCCTATTAAATGGAGGCAGAAGCACTGCAGCAAGAGAGATCTCCATCATTTGCTAAGAATCTTGGAGGCTCTTAATCATGTCACTCAGGGGTGTGAAGTTCATCATCACAGCTGTAACACGATTACGTGACCATAGTGGTAGAGGAAGACCACTGGCTGTTCTGGAGTGTGGATCAAAGAAACTATATTTGCCTAATGTGGATCTGAACACTGCGATACACAATCCACTCATGATCAGCAAGGCATACTGCACATCTGACAACAGGCAGCTCAGTCCAGCTTCTAAGCTGAGAAAGGTATCTACTGCTTCCTCTGGAGGTTCTCCAAATGCCCCATACCGGGAAACCTACAAGCATCAACTTTGTCTGGCAGCTCATCGGTTGCCAAATGAATACTGTCAGGGAATCTTTTCCTGGCCTCTTTGTACATCACATCACCTTTATCCAAGACCAGATGAAGGTCAGCTGTAGTCATGTTTTCATTCTCATGAAGGAAAGCAAGAAATGTGAGTGAGTTACATGTGCACTCACTGTTTCTGGAGTCTCCATATTTGGGATGAGCCTGGCTGTGAGATGCACAGACATGTGTTACAGAGGGCTGGTTTTCAATGTTCACTCTTTCTGCATGAGATGGTCCTGCCACATCACTGTGATGGCCTATTTTCACAAAATCAGCATAACCCACCTTGTCTCTGCAGCGCAGGCACCTGAAGGTCTGGCCCTTGCCTCAAACACCAGAAAGAAGTAAACCCATACTCAGCATGGATAGCAGCTTATGTCTAGCATGCGCGCCCAACAAAAGTGTTAGCGGGATTAACTGATAACTGCTTTTCTGTAGACTTTCAGACTCACTTTGGCCATTAAGCTGACAAAGGGACCCAATGCAGTGATCGAGGAGAGATTGGTTTGCAAGAAGTTATGTTGCATGGTCGTATATATCATAATGGAAGATGAAAAGGGAAAAACAGCGAATGAAAGGATACCTAAAAACGGGAGGAGGGATCCTTGTCCGATAAGATGAGTCCGATATGCATTGGGGCTCTTCTTTCTACTGCTTCTTTCCTGTCTGTAATTTGTGTGTGTTTCTGTCTGTGCTTTAATGCTCTTCACCCTGGGGTTTCTATGCTTTTTGTTTGTTTTGCTTGCTTTTAATGTTATTTCTGCTTTTACATGTACTGTTCTGCTGTTTGTATGACACTGTGTAATAAATAACTGATAACAACTCCAGAAAAGGCCTGAAATACATCACCAATTACAAAGGCAATGGGATAAATACGGATATATGGACATCTCATTAGCAGAGAAACTTAAGCCTGCGCCGACCAGCTGACTCAGTTCAGTTCAGTTCAGTTCAGTTCATTTCATTTTTATTTCAAACATTTCAAACATGTGCCTTCACAATCATTACAAAATATCATTCCATTATTTGTTTGAAAAGGAGTAGGCTGAAGTATTTACTTATTTGTCCCTACCCCCTCAATTTTTACCTCTCATTCATTTAATTTTTTTTGTCTTAAATTAAACAAACAACATATGAAACATATAAACATACCCCACTGTACCCCACATTATTTATTAATCTAATGGCCCTTTTCTGTATTATAGTTATTGTTTGTGTGTTACTTTTGTATGTGTTTCCCCAGACCTCTACACAGTAGCTCATATATGGCAGTAGTAAAGCACAGTATAAAATGTGCAGTGCTTTCTGATCCAACATATTCTTTGCTTTCCCCAGGACGGCAATGCCCCGTGCCAATTTCCCCCGAACATAAGTAATGTGTGGCTTCCAACAGAGCTCGTGGTCAATGATCACCCCAAGAAATTTTATTTCATTTACTCTTTCTAAATATACATTGTCAACACATATTTCTACTTCGATGTTTTTCTTTTGGTTTCCAAACAACATAAATTTGGTTTTATCGAGATTCAATGATAATTTATTTATATCAAACCACTTCTTTAATATCGTTAATTCCTGTGTGATCATTTCCAAAACCTGTGGCAATCCCCACCTGCACACAGTATATTTGTGTCATCTGCAAATATTACAAACTTTCAAATCTCCGATACTCTGCAGATATCATTTAAGTACATAATAAACATTTTTGGACCCAGTACTGAACCTTGAGGTACTCCACAAGCTATATCCATCAAATTAGATTTATATTCATTTATTTGTACATATTGTTGCCTATTCCCTACATAGCTTTTTAACCATTCCAAAACCACTCCCCTAAACCCGTACTTTTCCAGTTTTTTTAATAGAATTTCATGATTAACAGTATCAAACGCCTTCTTTAGATCTAAGAAAACTCCGAGCGCATACCTCTTATTATCCATACATTCCGTTATCTTTTCCATTAAATCTATCAGTGCCAAAGCTGTTGATGTGTTGTTTCTGAACCCATACTGACTATCTGTCATTAATTCATATTTTTCCACAAAACTGTCAAATCTTTTTATGAAGAGTTTTCCAGTATCTTAGAGAACTGGGAGAGTATTGACACTGGTCTATAGTTTGTAAAATGATGTCTTTCACCGGTTTTGTAAATGGGAATAACTTTAGCAACTTTCATTTTTTGTGGAAAAACTCCTTTTTGAAACGACAAGTTGAATATATATTTTAATGGTTTTACGATACCATCAATAACTGTCTTTACTGTTACCATATCAATATCATTCCAGTCTGTACTGGTTTTGTTCTTAAGTCCTCTAACTATGTCATAAATCTCTTTCTCTTCCACTGCTCTTAAAAACATTGAGCTACTATTCCTTTCAATATTTTCACCAGTGTCCCTTTCTATTCATCAACCTTTATTTCTTCTGCCAGTTTTGGCCCTATGTTTACGAAGAATTCATTAAAGCCATTTACTATCTCTCC